AGTTATACCGAGGAAGTTACGGGAAGTTGTGTTGCGTCAATCCCATGATACTGTAACAGGAGGACATCTCGGAGTTAAGAAAACATTGAGTCACCTACGGCACAGATTTTACTAGATAGGTATGAGACAAGATGTGGAAGAATGGTGCAGAACATTCAGTATATGTTGTGCTAAAAGGGGACCCAAGCATAAGGGATGTGCTCCAATGAAGTTATATCAAGTTGGTGCACCAATGGAAAGAGTAGCCATCGACATTGCTGGTCCTCTGCCCCAAACTCGTGCTGGAAACAAGTACATTTGTGTGGTGATGGACTATTTCACCAAGTGGCCTGAGGCATATGCAATACCAAATCAGGAAGATACAACTGTAGCTTCGGCTATTAGTGATTTCTTCTTCAGATTTAGTATGCCATATGAACTGCATTCAGATCAAGGCCGTAACTTCGAATCAGAATATTTCTTTACTTACAGCGTATGTCTTGATCTGGTGTATTTGTTTAATATTTAAATGTCATCAATCAATTATATTCTTAAGTTAAATGAAAGAAGAATGTATTTGGATCTAATTATTTTGAGTTAAATTATATTTGCTTACTACATAGTCAAATCTTGTTAAATAAAATTATAAACAATAATTTTCACATACATTAAACAGAAGAACACTTTATCTTAAATATATGCTAAATATTTTAAAGAAGTCTTTCATTACACAAATTACAATCATTCGGTAATGGAACTTGAAACTTTTCCTTACCTACCCTTTTTACATGCTAAACCAAAGGCAACCTGGCTCACTAGGAAGCACATTAGCTATCTAATGATCAAAAAAGCTCAATACTAAAGGTATAGGAGTATCTTCAAACGTCTAGCTGCTTTCTAAACATTCACAGTTATTTTCACATCCTTAAGAACGTGAAAAACATAAGTAACTTCCATACAACAATCAGTTCTTTATCCATCTAACTCTTGCTTCAGATTCAACAACTTTGTATTCATCCATACTGACCTGGAAAACATGGTCAAATCACATTTCTTAGATTGTTTGTTTGTTTGTTTCGAATTTCGCGCAAAGCTACACGAGGGCTATCTGCGCTAGCCGTCCCTAACTTAGCAGTGTAAGACTAGAGGGAAGGCAGCTAGTCATCACCACCCACCGCCAACTCTTGGGCTACTCTTTTTACCAACGAATAGTGGGATTGACCATCACATTATAACGCCCCCGCGGCTGAAAGGGCGAGCATGTTTGGTGGGATGGGGATGCGAACCCGCGACCCACAGATTGCGAGTCGAGCATCCTAACCACCTGGCCATGACGGGCCCATTTCCTAGAATAAAACCACCTCTTGTTACGTTGTTTATTTATTGGTGTTACGCGCAAAAGTATACAATGAATGTCTGTCCCTCTGCTCACTGCGGGTATCGAAACTTTGTTTTTAGAGTTATAAGTCATCAGACTTAACGCTGGGCGCCCGGGGTAAGGGGAGTTCCTGTTACAAGGAAAGGAGGTGTAAGCTACAAATATTTCTTAAACTAAGAACAAATAAAGGAATCAACGTTAAGCCCCGATTCGAATAAACTATATATTTATCCAGAAAAAAAAAGAGTAAAAACGAATTATTGATATTAAAATAACTTATCTGATTTTCATTTTTAGTGCCAAATGATTTTTTGAGCACTACGAGAATATCATTGGTGGCTCATGGATTAGACACCGTCGGAGAAGTTTTTATAAACGATCAGCGAGTGGGAACTTCCAATAACATGTTTGTTAGATATGTCTTTGACGTCAAGGATATCCTCAAGGTATTTTTTTATCTTTCGGATATATTGAAATAATTCATTTACATATTAAAATTGTCGTGTTGTTTTTACTTCGAAATTATTATTAAATTTAGAATTTGTAATTCCTAGTTCGAATTTGTCAAACCAGCTTCTTTCTCAATATCTTTAAATCAGTATAGATGATTTAGGGGGGGGGAGGCGCTTTTAAGGTATACGTTTAATTTATTTTGAATATCATACAATGTGCTTCTTTTCCTTTTTGTTTAGACAGGTTGACAATTCATGTTCATCTAAAACTTTCAAAATTGTTCATACATTTGCACGTATATAAATATATGAGTGTGTGTGTGTATAATTCTTAGACCTAAGGCCAATTCCCCTGGTGGGACAACGATAAGTTTTCAGACTTGTAACGCTACAATCAGGGATTCGATTCTCCTCGGTGCACGCAGCAGATAGCCCGATGTGGCTTTGCTATAACACAACACACACACCCAAGGAAACTGGTTCTCCATACCAGTGATGTTGCATGGACAACTTCGGCTATTTTATTTTACCAACAAAAGTTATTGGCTCTCCAGAACAGTGTTTATCACATATGTATTCACTTTACTCATATTTATTTGATAAGTGCTGTACTTTGTGATATATGGGTAATGGCGCAATTCTTATACCTTATGATTTAGGTGCTATAGTACTCTAAAGTGGGATATATACTTTATAACCAAATTGTATATAAATATAATACACACACATGTATATATAATCTCATACACGTGTATAGTATTTAGAGATGAACAGGATTACAGAAATGACACAAACCATTGTGCTGTTTTAGCATTGTGTCACCTAAAACACATTTTGCTTTAAAAATTTATTGATTAGATAAATTGTATACACCAAACATAACATCTTTCAAATAAGATACAAGATAACTAAAAAGAGCATGGTATTATCATGTGAACTGATTAACCCTACAGGTGAAAAAAGTAATCACAGATAATTAGAAGAACATCAGAAAATATAATACAGACTTAAATCCGAATTTCAGGCTGACTGGGTTGAAGGAATAGACCAAACACGAAGTAAAAGAATAAAGGAAAGTGTTTACTCTCCCAGAGCGCATACGTTGTTCATATGATTGGTCATTCATCAGGAAAAATTTGAAGGTAATATTTTCGAAGTGTCACAATGATCGCCAAATAGTCGAAAATTCTACCATAACTACATGACATATACATCTATGTGATTATACAGCTATCTGTTCTGTAGAAAATCTTTGGGTAATACATATTAAACAGAATTGTTCGTCTGTCTCTTTGGCATCACAGGTTGCTGGACCAACTTCGATGCCATTTAGTAGAATAATTTAGGTGGACCCCCAAAGATCGAGTTTGAATGGAAAAGCAATCAGACGAATAGTTGTTATCGTTTTATTGATTGTTGTTTGGTCAAGTGACCTGGGAAGATCCGGTACACTCTGGACCTCTATCCCGCTCATTGGCTATCAGACGAAGGGTTCAAGGTTGGCAACCACTTCAATTTTACTGCTTTAATGCTACGAATGAGAGTAGCAAATACGTGAATCCTACACCACACGAACTGGCATTTATGCCACCAATAACTATAGTAATTTTGCAACGACGAACGGATCATGTTGTACGGCTGAAAGTAGTGAAAGTGGCGACACACTCTCCAGTTTAAAGCATTACATTGCCAGGTATCTTTGTATTATATGTTATATGTTCATGGAGAACATGAATAGCATCGGAAGTGCAGCAGAATCCAATTTTTATTAGGATTTATGATTCAATGGTAAATTTGTTTCATAAATTTATATATATTTATATGTGTTACATTTGTGTTGAAGATATACTCTTCTTTAATATCCTAATAGTAGTGTCAAAGAGTTCAAATAATGGAAGAAATATATTTGTGACATAACATAAATAATATAGCTTTATTTACTGTTTATAACAAACTGTTTTGCAGTTATGTGAGTAGAAGTTTTTCTATCACCAGTAAACCAAAACACTCGGATTTCTTTAAATGCTATTTAGATTTTGCAAGTGTAAAAACTGTACAAAAGTGTAAGAACTGCTCGCTGGTCTTTCAAAGATTGGGGGGGGGGGGCTTCTTTATTACCAGGAAATGTGAAAATACACAATAACACGGTCTATAAAACCAGTTAAACGCTACGAGGCACTAGTAGTACTTCTCTGACAAAAAGAAGTGATAAAATTCGGGAAATATTGTTTGAAATAATTATTTTAAAGAAATCAAGAAAGTTTCATTTAAAATGAGGCAGCGTTTTTTCTGTTCATGCTGTCAAGAACTATTTTTTCCGTGATAGGCTTTTTTCTTTCTTTGAACATGAACATTTTGTTTTATTTGTGCCTGTACTGTGCTAAGCCTTGAGACATGCGTGATGCTTTACTTTCCCTTGTGATGAAGACTATTGCACTTCCAAAACTTGAAGAAAGTAGTAGTTTAAAATTTAATGTTTTTCTTTCAACTAGAATGTTATTAAATATGATATATATGTTTACAATGCGACAGGATGCAAAGTCTCATTTGTTAAAATATATGTTTAGTTTTATCAATAGAAATTGTAAGCACTTTAGAACTTTTGTTACAAATTCCCTTCATAGCGTAATTTTATAGAGCGTCATTTATCCAATCATTTCTTTTAACAAACTAGAATGTGTTAAACCTGTTGTATTTTTAACTTCAGTGTTTCGCTCATTTTAGAAGAATGCTTTCTCTTTTTTTTTGGATTTCAGAAAGAAAATAACACAATTAGTGTGAAATTCGAATCAGCAGTCCTTTACGCTAAGCAGAAACATCTGGAACAACTGATGTACTATGTTATACCTCCCGTTTGCCCTCCTCCTACTGAGAAAGGTTTATGCCACGTGAACTACATTAGAAAAATGCAATGTTCGTTCAGTTGGGATTGGGGTCCAGCTTTTCCATCCCAAGGCATTTGGTGAGATGTATATACTTAAATGTAGGATTTTTACGTTTTCTATTGTTTTTTAAGGGTTAATTTCATTTATTCATACAAAATGCTACGTGTACCTAAAGAATCATAAATAACGTCTACAATTTATGCAACACATTATAACATTTTCCAGGCTATAACGCAATTAGTGGTGTCACGTCTCCATTCGTCAGTTAATTTTCCGTAAATTCGTTCCGACTAAACTTTAGCGACACAAGTCCTTTCTTAAATAAAACTGGTTTATTCTTTCCGAATACAACTTTACGATACACTTAATTTCAACAGTCTCTCTATAACAAACGCAACACTGCCCCCTCCTTAGTATTGTTCGTCCCGAACAATAGCCACTTACAATAAACCAATAACAATTAACAATA